CTTAGCTGCTTGAGCCACAGGCACCGAACCTGCTTTTACCTCTTGAGCAGTGACTGCCTTGCTGGGCTGAGTGTGCCTCAGTTGTTTTTTTTTTTTACATTTTTTGGCTAGGGCTGGGCTTCAACCCGCCACCCCTGGTATGTGGGGCCGGCGCCCTACTCCTTGAGCCATAGGCACTGCCGTGACTCAGTTGTTGAAGTGAGTGGCTTTTGCTCACGGCCTCCCCATGTTAGCAGCAGCTATCCCTTACCTAGTGTCCAATGTGGGAATCCCCTCCCCATCTCTGTCTCTGAGAAACTAAAAAATTATTCTATTTGAAAGATTTTATAATTAAATATTTCACTTATGTATTCTCTTTTTAGACTGTATTAACCATAAACTTCTACTGCCTAAGATTTGGGGCCCAGTTCCTTGAATGATGGAGTTACATTTGTATATCCACTTAATGAAATACCTTATGGCTAGTCGGAGTGATGGTTCTGAAGATTATGGAGCAGGATAGAAAAGTTTATGCCTATAGGGTAAAGTGAAAGACATAAGTTACAAAGTTATAACTAGATAGAAAAATGCATAGAAACAAAGATCGAGAGAAACAAAAAGTAGCTTTCAATTGCCATTTTCAGATGGTTTGGTATCTTTGTATGCCAAATATCAAAGTATAAAAATTTCACCAAGGGCTTAATGTACAACCTGTATGTGTATTTTATAAAAACAAACACTTAATTTCCACATAAGTGGTTTTACACACATCTATCCCTTGGTAGTCTGTCCCTTCTCCCCACTTGATGACTGTGTGGCCCACAGAATACTTTAGCCATACTAATTGAACTTCAGAGAGAAGCCTTCCAGTTGCTTGTCATTGCCATGGTATGATTACCAGAATGGCCAGATTTTGTTTGGGGAATCATATGATGCAAGAGGGCAGTTATGGCTGGGCATGGTGTCACATGCCTGTAATTCTAGCACTCTGGGAGGCTGTGCTGGGTGGGTTACTTGAGCTTACAAGTTTAAGACCAACCTCAGTAAGAGCAAGACCCTGTCTCTACTAACAATAGAAAAACTGAAGTAAGAGGTTGGCTTGAACCCAAGAGTTGGAGGTTGCTGTGAGCTGTGACACCATGGCACACTACCTAGGGTGATAGCTTGAGACTCTGTCAAAAGAAAAAGAGGGCAGTTATAAGTGATGCTTCTTTAATTATTATTATTATTGTCATTATTATCATTATTTTGAGGCAGAACCTCAAGCTTTTGCCTTGGGTAGAGTGCTGTGGCATCACAGCTCACAGCAACCTCCAACTCCTGGGCTCAAGTGATTCTCCTGCTTCTGCCTCCCAAGTAGCTGGGACCACAGGTGCCTGCCACAATGCCTGGCTATTTTGGGGTTGCAGCCATCATTGTTGTTTGGCAGGCCAGGCTGGATTCTAACCTCCCAGCTCAGGTATATGTGGCTGGCACCTTAGCCACTTGAGCCACAGACACCAAGCCATCTTTTTTTATTTTTTTTTCAGATTAATGAGAGTATAAATGATTAGGTTACAAAGTTTGCATTTGTTAGGTAAGGTCCCTGTTGTAGTTATTTCCTGCCCCTAGGAGGTGTGCCATATACCCTCGCTCCCTTTCCTCCCTGTTCTCCCTTCCCTCTTTCCAGATCCCTCCTCCCAACTCCCTCCCCTCTTCTGAGGCAAATTCTTTGAGCCAAGAGAAAAGCTAGAGAATTCTCTCAGGCTTAGGAAAGTAGAGGAAGAACAGACTTTATCACTCCTGGTAAGAGTCTTCTTGGCTAGTGAGAGTCTGATTGACAGTGTTGGGGTTTGGGGGTGTGCACAAGGAGATCTGCAGAAAGAAGCCAGTGGAGCAAGTCTGGGCAGTTACAGAGCTCCATCCAGAAAGCTGAGCTCACCTGCTAGCTCGCTGCCTGCCTCGACCTCTACATTGTACCAAGAGGTGGGAGTCCACCAAGCTGCCTCCCCTTCCTCAATTTAACTGTGTTTTTCTCTAGCACCCTGATATTAATCCAAAAAAACAAAAGTGCCACTTAGAACTGCTGCTCTTTGATGCACAGCAGTGTTCAGGAGAAGGGACGCATTGTGGATGGGACATGGACCAAGGACGAGTGGAAGGACTGTTCCCACTGGGCCACAAAGTACAGACTGGTACTTGGCTGGATCCTTTAGCTCCCCTGACCCTTTGCCCTTCAACAGGTGACCCTGCCCTCAGCATGAGTCACTGGATGTTCCATCAGCAGGCCCTGCAGGAGTATATCCTGATGTGCTGCCAATGCCCGGCAGGGGGTCTTCTGGATAAACCTGGCAAGTGAGTGCTCTCCCTGGGGTTGGGGGGGAGGTGGGGAGATGCCTCTGCAGCCCACCGGAGCCAGACCTTTAGCAGCTGGGTATCCCTTCCTCTGGCTGCTTAGTGCCAGTGTTACATGGACAAGGCCCCCTCACTGGGACCATCCCTTTGAGGGTCATTGTGCTGGCACCTTGGCTGCCCATATTGTCCCCAGCTGACCTTCACCCTCTGCCCTGGAGAGGTGAATGGATTGCAGGGTTGGTAGCTTTTCTTTCCCCAACTCCCAACCTTTTTTTTCTTCTTTAAACCAAAGTGATATAAATAGAACAGGATACAGGATTTTATTTTATTTTTATTTTTTTGAGACAGAGTTTATGTTACCCTTGGTAGAGTGCTGTGGCATCACAGCTCACAGCAACCTCAAACTCTTGGACCCAAGTGTTTCTCTTGCCTCAGCCTCCTAGGTAGCTGGGACTACAAGTCCCTGCCATAATGCCTGGCTTTTTAAAAATTTGTATTAATTTATTTATTTTGAGACAGCGTCTTGCTCTTGCTTAGGCTGGTCTTGAACTCCTGAGCTCAGGCAATCAACCTGTCTTGGCCTCCCAGAGTGCTAGGATTACTGGTGTGAGGCACCACGCCTGGCCAGGATATTGCATTTGAAACCCCTGAGTGTTATAAAGAGAGATTATAATCACAACAGCTGTTAGAGAGTATATGAAATGACTGGGCTCAAATCTGAGATGTCATAATAAAAGGGGAAATAAGTCTTATTCTCTCTGTCACTCACCCCCATCATGCCTCCTCAAACACACATTCTACTGCTGTTGGCTACAGAGGAAGGCCTGGCACAGCAATTTATCAGGAAGGTTTTGGCTCATTTCTAGATACGTTGGTATTTTTCTAGAGAAATATATTCATTTAGCACTATCCAGCCCCTGAAGAGCCCCTTCTTAACACAGTTGTGGAGACCCTCTAAATTACCATTCCTGCTATCGGGCAGGACCTTTAAAAGTACTGCTGGTATAAAGCATGCCACCTCTGGCCATGTGGAGGACCAGGGGCATGTGCAGTTGCAACTTGGCCTGGAATTGGTGTGGCTGTGTTCCGGGGCTGTGGGGTACAGAAGCCTGTCCACTCAGAGTTGCCCTGTCCTTTCAGATCGCGCGACTTCTACCATACCTGCTACTGCCTGAGCGGCCTGTCCATAGCCCAGCACTTCGGCAGTGGTGCCATGCTGCATGATGTGGTCCTGGGCGTGCCTGAGAATGCTCTGGTAAGAAGGGCAGGGGCTTTACACCCCTTCTCCACAGGGTCCCCCCGGATAGGACACTTCCCAGGTGAGCAGAACGGCCACTAAGATGCTGTAGAACTGGTTCCCTGCATGTCCTGTGTGGACAGGCTGGGAAGCTCAGGGTCCCCACCCTCACACATCTCTTGAACTAATAAAACACTGTGGCCTCTAGGAAAAAAATTTTTTTCTAGTGTGGCAGTCAATGTGCAAGAGACATATGAGTTATATATGCTTCACGAGGCCTCTAGCTCAACACTAGCCTAAGTGAAATACAATTCACAGGCAGTCAGTGTGTTAAAAGTGTGTTTGTTTGGGCTGGGTGCAGTGGCTCACACCTGTTATGCTAGCTCTCTGGGAGGCCAAGGCAGGTGGATTGTTTGAGCTCAGAAGTTCTTTTTTTTTTTTTTTTTAAGAGACAGAGTCTTACTTTATCACCCTCTATGGCCCTTTTAGAGGGCTGTGGTGTCACAGCTCACAGCAACCTCCAACTCCTGAGCCTAGACAATTCTCTTGCCTCAGCCTTCAAGTAGCTGGGACTACAGGTGCCTACCACAAACCTGGCTATTTTTTGTTGTTGTTGTTGCAGTTTGGCTAGGGCTGGGTTCAAACCCGCCACCCTCAGTGTATAGGGCCAGCGCTCTACCCACTGAGCCACAGGCACTGCTTGAGCTCAGGAGTTCAAGATTAGTCTGAGCAAGAGGGAGACCCTGTCTGTACTAAAAATAGAAAAACTGGCTCAGCGCCTGTGGCTCAAGTGGCTAAGGCGCCAGCCACATACACCTAAGGTGGCGGGTTCGAATCCCCAGC